TCAAAGATGCATATTTTTCATATAGATTCACAAAAGCTCCAGAAAGCTAATGAGTTTCACTTCGAACGGAAAATTATTTCAATACTTTAATCCAAATCAACAATACTTTAATAAAAGCAACATCATATTCATGCATAAAATTGATAAACATCTGTTCCTTTTTTTCTTTTTTTTACTCTCTTTTTCTCGTTAAGTATATTTATTAATTCAATGCACTAACCCTCTATATTTGTTCTTGGTTGGTATGGTTTCTGTTAGCCAAAGGTTGCCTTATAGAAAGTGCTACCCTAGCAATAAGGCCGCCTTTTGCATATATGCTCATTTCTTTTTGTTTTATGTGTTTGTTTTTAGTGCAATAAAGAATTAATCAATCAATCAAAACCGGTCATGAAATTATTAAGAACAGCCAGCCGGTTTAATGTCCACCTGTTATTTGGACGATGTTTTTCTTGTAGGTAATTCTAATTCAGAATGTAATCATAATGTCAGCGTGACCACAAGCCTACTTCATTAGGTTTCGAAATAAACGAAGAGAAAAGTAACATTATTCCTACTACCTCATGTAAATTTCTAGGATAAATATTTGACTCCCGTGAGATCTAAATATGCTTGCCGAAGTACAAACAAATTTGCATAAAAAATGAGTTAATTAATATGTCAATGCGATCTCGTTGTACTATCCGAAAATGTGCGCGATTGATAGGATTACTAATCGCAGCATATCCTGCGGTTGAATATGTACCAAATAATTATTATACATCAAAGAAGTTGAACGACAAAAATACTTAAACCAAAAACCGTATGATCATTTTGACAAATTAATGTATTTACCTCATTTATTAAAAGATGATTTCGATCGGTGGATAAGAACAATAAACAACTATAATTAAAGATGATAAGTATGTAATCGAAATCGTTTCTGACGCATCGGGATGGGGAGTGAAGACTGCAAGTGGGCGTACCACCAAAACACCATATCAATAACTTAGAGCTGCTAGCTGCATATATCGTTATTGCCGATACTTTTATGAAAATTATTGCCAAAGATATATTTAATTGCGAAATTTTATTACGTATTGATAACTCTATCGTAGTTTCCTATATAAACCGCATGAGTGGCGTTGAATATCAGCATCTCACGAGCATATCTAAAAAGATTTGGCAATGGTACGAAGGGCGGAAACTAATTGTATTAGCCTCTTACAAAGATAATACAATAGCCGACGTAGATTCTAGGAAAACTTATCCAGATACTGAATAGGAATTGACTTACTCTGCTTTTGAAATAATAAAATCTAAATTTGATATCCCAGACATCGATTTATCAGACATCGCCAGTAGGATAAACAATAAATGTAAAGATAAATATCATGGCATAAAGATCCTGATGCAGAAATGATTGACGTGTTGACAATAAATTGGTTCAATTACTTCTTTTAGCATTTCCACCATTTTTGATAATCTTGGAAACACTTCAGAAAATAATCACGGAAAGGGCAACGGGTATCATAGTTGTACCATTGTGGCCAACTCAGGCTTGGTATCCGATTTTTCAAAACCTTTTAATTTCTGAAACTATTGCATTAACTGTCGATGATAATATCTCTTATTTCAGCAATCGCAACATCATTGCCAACCTGGCTCTAGTTGCGGTGACATCATCTAGGTGGCAATATTCCAAAGAAAAGTGCCGGAGCCCTCCATACATATTATGTTAGCTTCATTGTCATCAAGCTCCATGAAACAATATAATGTCTATATTAAAAACATGGCGCAATTAAAAAAAAACAAAAAATAATAATTTTGAGATATCTAAATCTTTTATTAATACAGTTCTTGAATTCTTAATACAATTATGTGAAATGGCAGCCAACATGGTTCGTTAAATAGCTGCAGCCCTCTTATTCTGAGACCAAATATTTCAGAAGATTGTAGAATAGTAATATTTGTTTACTCAATGTTTTTAAATAATAAGCTCCTGTAAACATTGTATCGTATTGAGTGCAATAAAGTATATTATTATTATTTTTTATATTTATAATCTACTCGTCCCGACCCCTCGACGATTCGAGGGGTGGAAGGATTCCCCTTATTAATTATTATTATTATTTTCACGGCATAATACATCCGATACGCTGCTACGTCACGAGCTCACTTTCAAGGCGTCGGAAGAGATTCGAAAAACAGCAGGCTTGGGCATCAACTCCAGCACCTTTGCTAAATTCTAAATAAGAACCACTATGAGCACAATACAGTGATGGCTAAATTAATACTTCGCTAAATGAGTAATTTACAATTATGAATACATTTTTAATTATTGTGGATTAATTTTTATTATTTAGATTTTTATTATTTAAAAATAATTAATCTTTCAATTTCCAAATAAAATATATCATTAAATAACAATATTTTATTGATATTGCCCAAAACCTTACTCTTAACATCTACATGAATCAATAAAATCTTTTTTACAGGTTACTAATCTTAAGTACGTATCACGAAGTATAATTGATGATTAAACAAACTTACCCTGTAAGTGAAGTTCTATCATAATTGCACGAGTGATTCTTACGAAGAGGTTAGTAACACCAACTCAGTGGGGGTTTTGGGAATATTTTAGTGACAGGAACTACCTACTCTAAACTAATGAGCTCCTGAGCACGTCGACAAGCATAAACAGGTTTGGTCTACCCACTGAAAAATATATTTTCTAACTCTCGAATTACTCAACTCGCTGCACTTGAGTAGTGTTATGTAAGCGTTACACCATGAGCCTTTTTTTTAAGGTCAATCACTCATATAATTGTGATAGAACTTCACTTATAATCGTTTACTCATTAACTATTTTTCTATGAAATTGCTGTTTTGAACTTTTTGTGACTTAGAAATAGTTTCTTTATTTGATACTTAGTTACAGAAATTTTCATTTTTATATAAATTGAATATTTTATATGAAATACTTGATTCTCAATTGATTTTCTTACTAAATAAAGCAAATTCTCGGTGTTTTCCAATTCGTAAAATAGTTTTTAATTATATTTTGTAAAAGATATTTCAGTCTTTATTGAGAACTTTATTGATTAGTAGTTAAAATAAGTTTCGTTCCAGAAAATTGCTTTCTTAATTCACATCGGCCAGAGTTTGAACAAATCTGAAAAGTCAGAGCAATAGACGTTGAAATATAAAGCAATTGAAGACGTTTCGAATCGAAATTCTTGCTGCGAATTAGTTTTCGTTGAGAAGTAAATTGAATTGGATCGTTACTTAGCTAGTTTTATAAGCTCTATATCTATAAAAAGGTTTTCTCTTTTTATTAACTTTGAGGAAGTTGCATTTAAATGGAAATTTTTAGTAACCTAACAGATTCTTTGGAACTTACTATGTTTTAGAATGTAGCAGATTAATTTGAGCTGAAGGGAAGATGAAATAAATTTTCTTTACTAGTTGCAAATAAATTAAGAAGAGCTCTATTTTTGATTCACTCGTTTAAAATCTCCTTATACGACCTAATCCCATATACGACCTAAATCACACTCGACTTCTAAGCCGCATGACTCCGTTATATTTAGTTTTTTTGAATCATTTGTCTGTAGCGTGGTTGTATGGGAACTATTTTTACCTATATAAACATAAAAAGTGTGAATGTTGAAAAAAGGGTTTTGGCGTTTGTTCTATCACTCGCAAACAGCCTTTGTTAAACGTCAATGGTTCCACTCGTTGCAGTCGAGCGAATTAGAAATGGCTAATTTGTTATGTCGAATAAAAAATTGTGAAAAGCAAGCGCTGTACGTGACAGAAATATTTCAAAACTAGAACTCCAGTACGCAGTAGCATGATGAACTCGCGAATATTTTGTCTACACTCAAATATCACTTTTCTTGGGTACGCTCATACACCATCTCACTCTCGACCCGAGAAAGTGACATTTTGGTGTAGACAAAGCGTTTCTCGAGTTTGTCGAGAAACGCTTGCATACACGTGCGGGTGATATTAGAAATCTGAAGATAGAGTGTTGAGACTCATATATTTATATACAAAGAATTCTAAAATCCTTTTCTTTCGCCACAATCGAAGCGTTTCATTAGGATTGATATGCGTTTATATTCCTTCTAAAGGGAATATATTTTTCAATTTGAACTCACTAACATTTTCTTCTTTTCAGATTTGGGGGAAGAAACATTTTACCTTGAAAGTGTCTGTCTTCCAAATGAATGACTTACAAGTCATGGTTTGACATGACTTACAAAAATGGTTTTAGGCATGTCAACTTATTTTTAATCAGCCATATATGCTTTATTCTTTTTGAATTTGTTAGAAAACATCCATCAATCCTTAACGTTGTTTTATTTTACCAATTTATCTTTTTTAATTTATTTCATGCATTTTTAACCTACCCAGTTTCATTTGTGTAGTCTTGATTGTTATAGAATAAAGTGACCATGACATAATGACGGATAGATTGATAGACATGGGGAATCAGAAATTAGAATTTCCTTTTTAGGGTTCCATTATTGCCATTTGTCTAAGGAACCCTTAAGAAGGATCGATTCATTAAATTTAACACAGTCATCATGTTTACGTATGTAGAAACAACATAAAATTCAAACATCATTTTCTTCACAATATTTTTTGTAGAAGATTATGGAAACAAAATGATTTTGCTGGTCACAACAAACTTGTCCTATAATAATAAAATAAATATTGGCAAAAAAAACCGATTTCAAAAATGTTAAAAATAATACTCGTCCACATATTCATGAAACTTCTATTTAATTTGGGCGGTTAATAAACCATTTTCTATCAATTACGTTTTTTAATACAATATAAAGGGACAGACATTTTTCATTCACGTACATGAACAAACCAATTAATTGTGTGTGAATTATTCAACGTGTACGCAGTAATCTAAGTTAGTTAGTAGCCTTTGGGTGAGTTAACGAAGTGTTGAAATGTTTAACAGGTGAAGGGGGTGATGCGCCAGCGGTGATGTTCTCTCTAATATGCAGTGGAACGGTCTCTACTTCGTGTGTCTAGCTTTATGCTGCTTACACACTACATCAGGTAAATAATTACTTTTTAATCAGTACATAATCCCCATAGGGAAAGGTACTACGGAGTATTCGTAGTACCTTTAATAACAAAACCGTGTAAATAATAACTATTATCTTTTTCAACATCACTACAGAGATCTTATCTTAATCTATCTTTTTTATGCTTACTTTAAAGCAAAAATAAAATGCAAACATTCTTAATGGAAAATGTTTTAAAAATCTACTTTGTCCGTGGCACCTGGAGATGGGATTTGAACCCATAACCTAACGTAATCCGGACTGTTCTTACCACTGAGTTACCCAGGACCTAACAGGACTGACTTGTCTCACAAGTACATGTAACATTTTCACTATTATATATATTATAATTTATGCTTTTTAGAACAGTAGCTAACAAACTGTAGCTATATTGCTCAAAATTGTTCATCAATGTCCAGGTTAGGTAGAAGGAAGAAAAAAAAACATGAAAATCAGTTAAATTCACGAATACGATATTAAAATTTGTGGCCAGGTTATCAAGTTTTACTGTATTGTATGTTCTGGTTAAGCTGAGATATATATAGAATGGAGAACCAATCTCATGTTAGTCTGTGACAAGGTGGCAGCCTGTCGCCTTCATATAGGGAAACGCATTCCCTTTAGATTTGTACATGCGAGCTACGCAAACATAATATTATATTTTCGTATTCCTTAATAAACAAAAAAATTGGCGTGTTCTTATTGTGATAACATTATTATTTGCGGTTGAGCTGACATTTAATCAATCAATTAGTGTATTCTAACGTTTATTACAAGAAATTAATCTAAATTGTTTAAGTATTATTTTCGAGTTAGACAATTATTAATAGTGTAAAAAGTGAGTTTCTATTTTTTGTAGATAATTCATTCGGCTGCTATCAATTTTGTCAGAGTTACATAAGTGACCGCAATTCCCCTCCCTACCCTTTGGTTTCAAATAAATCATCATTGCATAAATGAAACGTTCAATAACGTTCAATAGTTGAATTTTCACGTTTATTTTGTTAAAACAACTTTTCAACTAGTAGCCGGCTTGAACAATTAGCAAATAAACAAAAAAATCAAACAAGTTAATAATTAGTCAACTTGATTTAAAAGTAAATTAATTTTCAACTAGTCGTCGCTTTGAGACAGCATTTGATTTATTAAATATTATTACTGTTGCTAGAATAAACTTTTGACAAGATGATTATAATTCCATGTTATTTTTCATTTTAAATCAATTTTGAACTTAATACTAACACATATAATAATGTCATGAGTTGGGTCCGGGATAAAAATTAACTCCAATTCTAGTTCACAGTCAGACTTTATATAACAATACAATTACAATAATGATCCAACTACAAAATTCACACTTCAACTTCGCTGATTCACGTCTCTAATAACACTTCACTGCACTAATAGATCGCCCGGATAGTTTTCTTCGAGTTTCGCTTTCGATCGATGCATTCTTTCAGTGCCTAGTTATAGGGGCCGACACTACACCTAAAATGTTTTAGGTCCTACCACGGCCCTACCGGTGTATTTGAGGCATTACTAAAAAGTTCTAAAACAGTTACTCGTCCCTTTCTTCCTACACACGGGGTTTGGATGGTGTTAGCGCGATTCAAATGACACGTAATACCACCTAGTAATAGGTAGTAAATTTTAAAATAAGGATGTTAATGGTTTTCTTTAAATGTATGTACCTAGTAATAGGTAGTAAATTTTAAAATAAGGATGTTAATGGTTTTCTATAAAAATGGTTTATCGTAGCATAAGAGGCTTAATCAAATAAAACCTACTTTAAAAGGTAATAAAGGATAAAATATTTCAATGAACTCTTAATGCCATTATCATGGTACATTCGAAGCGAAGAGAAGCGTGCCATCTATTCCTAGTTAAAATTTAGAACTCCCTGGAAATGTACTCAGAAATCAATTAAATTCAATAACATTTCCCAGACATGACTCTAAAATTTGAAGTCAGTAGTAGTTTACGCTAGTCAGGGGTAAATTAACGAAAAATAAAATAAATAATGAAACTATTTTCTATGATTAAATAATTATAAACGTTACCATATATATATATATATATATATATATATATATATATATATATATATATATATATATATATATATATACATATATATACATACATATATATATACATATATATATATATATTTAATTTGTGAATGTTTCCAGTAAGTATTGATTGAATGTGGATCATAGTCTAACATCCAATTTCTGAATTGAGAATTTAAAGTTAAGAATGTCTCAAACTGTCATTTAAACAGGTTTTTGTTTCTGATTTTAGTTTTTTTGATGATATCAGAGCAGTTTGATAAAACTAGTACTTTTTGACTTGTGTAACGTAAAAAAAGTTAAGTTATTGAGAATAATTTAGTTGAGATTTTGTATTTTCTCAATTCAGAAACCAACTGTATGTAAACAAGAAACTTGTAAAGGATGCGAAACGTCTGAAACTGGAAATAAGTTTCAAAAAATACCGGTGATATAACCGATTATAAGTAGTTTTATTTACTGAATAGTGCACATAAAAATATAGCACAAAGTATTTTTCAACCTGACGTTGCTATTGACTGTACTTGCAAAAATATTCTATTTCAAACAGAAGAAGATATTTATAGACGATCCTCTTTACAAATACTGTTTTATCATTAGTCTTTGTGAATATTTAAAACGGTTGACGATGAGGATGGCGACAGATAGAAATAAATCCGATGAAAAGTCCCCATTCCGAACTGAGATTAAACTTAAGTAGATTTTAATCACAAAGAGTTTTCCATTAACAAAACAGAACCGATTTCTTTGAGGGAAAGATAGATAACGTTTTATTGCTCACACACAAAGTTACTTAACTCTGCGAGTGGTAAAAGGCGATATTATCGCCAAAAGAAATCCCTTTTAGTTTCCTTTGTGATGATGAGAGATAATTTTTTATTAAAAAAAAACCTTTTTTAGGAAAAACACAAATTATGAACGAAGTTCTGGTTGTCTTCTAGTATTAGAGATATATAATATAACAATAACATTTTTAGTAATGATTATATAATGTAGGAATTAAAGAAATACGGTAATGCTCTTATGTAATAAACTAAAAATCAAAAGAATTGAACTGTAACTTAAATTTATCAATGACATTCAATGGCAAATAATAATTTGACAAGCTTTTTTGTTATGCTATTGTAATAACCCCGTTCTTTAACAATAATTTATTTTAAGGAGTCTAGAAATATGTAATATAGGTATTATCATAAAATTCGAGATTATGTGATATTTCATATGCATTTAGTTTGTTTACATCAATTCTATGTCCTAAGTGGAAGCATGTTCTTAAGTGCGTATAAATTTGAGTGAGGAAAGCGTAGGTAAAGCAAATTATTAGCTTTATAGTGCCTGTATTAGAATTCTGTGTGGTCGACAGTACTTATCGAATTATGAAAAATATCAGTACTCAAACTTGTGCTAGCTTTTTAGTACTTCTTTTTCCTTCACTATTCTGGCCTAGTCTTCAAAAGATATTTCTTGAATGAAAACATTGGCAAAATAAGCAATTTGATATTTTAACCTTCTTTAAGACACTTTTTCACAAAAAGATTTTCTTTTGAAATAAACTTTTGATAAGTTTTCTTAAAAATCATAGCAATAGACACTAACATATTCGATTTTGCAATTGTAAATGTATATTATAATAATAAACTGACGAGAAAAAGTTCTGAGTCAATTGGACAAACTTCGAATAAACCCGGAGTATAGAACTTATGTGTGTTACTAATGTAAACACAAAGACTTCTATGTATAGGTAAAATATAACTAGACAAAACGTGTGGTACTGAAAAATTTGTGGATAAGCTGTTGATTTCCACTTAATATTGCCTACTACTCTTTACTACTAATTTTTAATCGCTATGTACATGTAAGGCTACCGTGTGAATAAACGAATGTCATGTTCCTTCCTTCAAACGTTGGACAGCTCAATCAGGATTGCACTGACTAATCTAGACGAATTCTGATTGGTCCGCCCAACGCTTGAAAGAAAGCATACGATATTTGTATATATATAAGATAGGGCCGCTGAGCTGACGCACGACATGCCTCATTTTTAATTCTGATCAGTTTTTGTAGCCAACAAGTCTTCGTGTGACACTTAAATCAATAAAAATATTTTAAATACCAATAGTTAAACATTATAATTGTACGTGTGTACAGAACCACTACGCTTCCCTGAGGATTACCAGTCCAATGGTATCAGAAGTAGACGCAGTGATGACAAAGACAACCTGGCGTTATCAAGAGAGATATTCAGGAATATCACAAAGCAACTACGAGAGAACATCAGAAGAGAGGGGGCCACAGACAGAAGTGATTTATTACAAAGTGAGTCTGCACTATATTTGCATTCCATAAGTAAAAAAGGCAAAATGCTAAAAATCCTCAAAATGGTACTTTCGGAATTGAATATAAAACGCTTTTGAATAGAAGTCCCAAAAGGACAGTTAAAAACACATCAGGTTATTTGGAACTGTCAAAAAGGTTCAATTGCTTTTAACATATAAAGTTCAAAATCGACTGCGGAAATATTTTGTGGTGTGAAAGTTTTACCGCTTTAGGAGTTTGCCCTTCCCATCGACGATTCGATATTACAAGCTTTATTGTTTATTTTTAGTTATAAAGTCCAGCTTGAAAACTATTATTTTAACCAATTTTTCAATGTTCTCGCTTTACTTATTAAGTTCGAGTGAAATATAAAACTGGTTATTGCTTCCATATTAATTATAAAAACAAATATAAATGTGCAAATTAATATTGTATTTCATAATTTTTATTTGTTGTCATAAAATATCAGTTATCTACGTTACATGCATAAAAAGATCTTTAAAAAAATAAACTTCATAACATAATTATGAAAAGTTCAATAGAAAAGGTATTATTAGTTTAATATGAGTATAACGGCGTGTATTCACATCATAAGGCTGCTATCAATTTCGAGAAGGCGAGCACGTTTGCTTCTAATAATTAAACGCTGCCACTAGCGAGTAAGGTGCTCGCTGTAGTCTCGCGATCTGCCCTGCGATCCAGACCCGAATTCGAATTCACTCATGTGTCCGAATTGACGTCATAAAGTATAGAAATTCTATTGATTCCAATTTTTATGTAAAGATTCTAAACAAAATTGTTTGGATTAACGTGTCTCAGATATTCTATTCCTATATCATTTCGAAACTCATGTCACTTATGCCACAATACTTTAATGCCAATTTAATGTTGAGCGGATGCCGCTTGTTGAAGTGGATTCGGACATCTCGAATTCAGGTTTGGACTTTTACAGAATTCTTAAGCAGCGTCGTATATGGGATGCTTTACCTACTCAAAAGTTTTGGTTTTAAAAGTTAGTCCTCATTTAGTAGCAGGATTTGGTACCGTATTATTTTCTGCTCTTATTCTTTTTTTTCTTAAGACAATCCCAGTTTCCTTCTAAGGCTTCAGCGTTTATGCGTTTATTTTTCTACGCCTTGTCTCGTCCCTTTTTAATTTCTTTCTTATTTTTTTTTATAATTATTAATAAAATTTTTGATTGACATTTGTACAATCGCTAGCTCAACTACTTAGTAAATAAGGAAATATCTGAATCATATGTGGACATGATTCCCATTTAAATTTTATCGAAATCGAATCTTCATATTTTTCTTATGACAAAACAAAAACAAAATCCGAAAACAAATAATACAACCGAAAAAAAATGGATTTGAAGTTGTTTAAAAATTAAGTTGTAACTTTAAACGATAAATTCTATCAAACTGATTTCAATAGAAATTTGTATGTTCACTCCGAATAAAACAGTCAATAGATTTCACTGTGCATTTGGAAATATCAGCAAACATAACAGGCAGGAATAGGCTGTCAGGGGCCACCATTTGTTACCGAAGGGGTATCGATCACTTGGCGCTCGTGTTTAGATGTGTTTCCGATTTTTTGTTACTTTCAAACCTACATGTTTACTGAACTGTGAAATTTCTACTGGGAGCAAGTTTGAAAGTAACACTTGAAGTTGATAGTTACTCGATATCCAAAGCTAACACAAGCGAGTAGCTCAGTGGTGTAGTGGATAGGCGTCGCGGTCCTTGAACGTTGTTTTTAAGCAACTCTAGCAAAGATCGGTCACGGGATGAGTTACCAAAAATTTTTATATTATTATCTCGAGCTACTCTGTATTTTGGAAGGCACGTTTAGCCATTGGTCCCGGTTACATTTGAAGTTGTCAATACCCTCCAATCCGCATTGGGCGGGCGTGGAGGATTATGGCCCAAATACCTTAAGCATCCGTAAGGAGATCTGAGCCCCTGCAGTGGGGACGTAACGGGGCAATATCTGCAATGTAGTATATAATATATGGGGCAATGAAAATGAACATATCGATTTAAATGTTTTCTTGTCTGAATAATGTATTTTAATATGTCTTCAATATTTATCAAGATACTTTTTCGTGATATATCTTGTAACGGCTTTTTATCTCATCTAGTATTATTAAGTGGGTCTATAAACTTTTTATAAAATAGATCTCAGTTATCAAAGTGCCTGGTAACATTGCCTCGGTATACAGAGGTTTAATGCTTATAGCTGTTTTTCAAATGACTCTTTGTAGATAAACATAAATTTAAACTCTCTATACACCATGTCCTTCGTATATTACTACTTTTAATATATGTCTTCTATTATACTATAATAGATATGACTTACAGCCGGTTTCTGAATTGAGAAAAGCTCAAAATCTCAACTGATTCTCAATAACTTAAGTTTTATACATTTCATATGGCAAAAAGTCCAAGTTTTATCAAATTGCTATCAACTGATCAATAAAAAAATATAAATCAATTATGAAAACCTGTTTAATTGGCGTTTAAAATGGCTTAAGCACGGATTGAGACGTGCTTAACTTCAAATCCTCAATTTAGAAATCGGGTGTTAGTCATTTATCCCAACTTAAATTTACTAAGAAATATTTGGTTAGTATAGTTTTTTATAAACAATAGTTGTTTATAAAATTGTTTATAAACAAAAACATGGTAAATTTATTCGTTAACTTTTCTAGTTACAAATGACGTTTTCTCTAGAAGAAGGTTTAAAATTCTTATATATCGATATATTTCGGACTATTAATTACTAGTTTATTTTCCGTGACCTCGTCCTCGTAAAGTATAGCCTATGTTACCCGCATATGGTGTAGTTTCCCGTAGGTGAAAGAAATTTTAAAATCAATCCGGTACTTTTAAGCATATTCAATGTAATGAAACAGTCAAATCTTTCCTCTTCATATGATTAGTAGAGGTACTTCATGAACTGTGAATCTTATATTGAGATACATATTAGACACGAATATTTCAGTATCTATTTTCACATATAAAATAAAAATATACAGTGATGGCCATATAATTAAGAACGATTTGTAGTTATAGAATGTTTTAAATGAAACTTGCCATATTTTTTAAACATTACTTTTTGTAAGTATTTACGTATTGGAGAGCCAGTTAGTTAAGATAAACTAAACCAGGATAGACATATAAAATTAAGTAACGTTTTCTTTTATAAAAGTATATTTATTGTGGACAGTATTATACTATGATAAAAGCTGGACAAAACGATACTATTAAGCTGTTGGTAAAATGTTTAAAATAAAATACAGAGTAATTATATTGTTATAATAGAAAAAAATGTACATTAAAAAATAAATTAAATATATTTTAAACTAAAATTAACATTTGGTCGCATGTCCACGACTCAATAACTGCTTTACACCGACGAGGCATTGACTCTATTAATTTTTGACATTTTTCATGAGAAATAGAATCCTATTCTTCCGAGAAAACGTCTTATATTTCCCTTAAGTTAATCATCACCATCGTCAGCTCCACTGCGCCACAGTTTTGCTCTTTCCGCATCTAGCGGATTCTCACAACTTTTGGTCAGATCGCCGGTCCACATGGTGGGGGGGCTACACACTGTACGTCATCAGGTACATGGTCGCTATTCTAGAACCTTTCCACCCAAATGGCGATCGGTCCTTCTGGCTATAACACTGTCACTTTAGTTCAGCAATCCTTCAAGCAATGTCAATAACTTTGGTACTCTTACGCATCTTCTCATTCTTAATTCGATCACGTAGAGAAATACTAAGCATTGCTCTCTCCATTATCCGCTGGGTGACCTTGAGCCTTCTTATGAGACCACATTTCGATTAAGATACGGTTGCCGTGGAGTTACGTGTATATTGCAATTGAGTTGTTTGAAAATCTTTGTGATGGAGTAAATTACACGTCCGATTCAAGGCGTTTTCATACCTAGCCTTGTTTTTATAATTTAAATTCGTGCTGTGACGTGTTGAATTAATTTATCATTCATGATATTCATTGAACTACAAAAGTTCAATTTTTTGAACCAATATTTGTAAATAATTCTAGGAAATTCAACTACTGTTGGCCTTGTTAAATAATTATGCAAAACAAAGCATCCTTCCCAAACGCGATAGTTATCCGTTAAAACTTTATGAATAAATTGTTTTATTGCTTTATTCTGCTTTGTCATAATATTATTATGGAGTACAGCTTAATTGACTTATCAACGGTCAATTAAGCTGTACTCCACTTAACCGTTACCGTAACCGTTAGTCCGTAACCGTTGGACTTCAAACCAATTTGGGATAGTTAAACGTACATTTTATTGTATTTTATTTTAAAATGTTCTTTACAACTTACCTATTTGTATTCGAAATAATTGTATATAGGAACATACACACGGCTTTATTGTGATGGTTGGCATGCTGTTTTCTAGGTAGTGCTATCCTTGTGACCGGGATTTAATTTGATTAGCGGTCAAGATGATATGACCTATAAATGTTGTATATTAAAATATTAGTTATTAGGTTTATTATAGTTTGCGTGTTAAGCTTGTTATCTTTTCTTCTTCGATCCGTATTCATCGTATGCTGAGTGTAGATCTTTGTAATGTTCTTCCTCTCTGAGCATTTGGTTGCTCGTTGCATTAAGTTTTTTCCCCACAATTTAATAAGATCATTGCCTTTAGTTCTTGGCCTCCATTCGAGAATTTTTCTACCTAATCTTCAGTCAAACTGTAAGCATATATCCATTTCACTTTGTTATAGCTATTACTTCTACTATGTCAATCAGCCGTGTTGTTCTCCTGTTTTCCGTGTCCTGAATTTGATCATGAATTAAAATGGCTTACGTAGCTCGATACACAGCACCACGTGGCACTTGTAATTTGTGTTTATTAAGCTTTATGAGCGTCCCAGTTCCAGCCCAGATAAAACGTGACCAGACGTCCTGTTTTTAACGGGACCGTCTCATTTTTTTATTAGTCCT